TTTTTTAATCTAATAATATGCAATTCTAAACACTCAACCAAATGTAAAAACAATAAATAATATAAATGTGATAATTAAAGAGTGAGAGTTTTGAAAGACTACTGACACGACGAAAAGATTGTTGTCTTCTCTCAAGTGTAGGAGTGTTGAAGTAATAAATAATCCGGCAAGACTGGGGTCGAACCACAAGGAGGTTAATTATACAAATTATAAATAACAATAATACAACAACAACAACAACAATAATAATAATGTTCCTTTCATAGCTCAGGTGTCGGTTATACCATACATTATGGGCTATGAAAGTGCCAAGCATTTGTTGTACCAAGTGTTATACAACATAAATCAAGATTAGTCATTTAACAAGCAAAGTATTAAAGAGTGAACAAGATAGCAAATATAAAACATGTTAGTATCAAACATTAAAGTCCATATTAAGTTTACATTATACTTATTCTTACACCATTAGTGTAACCTTTTCACCTTGACATAATTAACTTAGCTAGACATAATGAAAGAAAGCAAAATAGATAAACAAAATAAGAACATAAAAGTTAACTAAGTAAAGGAAAGGAAATGAAAGGCATAAACTTAATATTAATGAAAACAAAGCATAAAAAATACAAAGAGAGAAAGGAAGAGCATGATCTTGATCTGGAAATCAAGATGCCTAAATGCATGGCAAATGCCTCCTTTTATAGGCCAAAAATGGGAACTATTGATTTGATGACTAATTGATAAGTGGGTGACCAACTTTTGACTTGGTGACAATCCTTATCTTCTCTTGTCTGCCCAAAACGTCATTGATAACGTCAAAATTGGAGCCAGTTGTAAACATGAAAGTTGTAGGCAATTGTCTCAGCTTTCTTGTGTAAAAATTTCAGCTCATTTGGACTTCTAGAACTCCAGATATGGCCAAAATACCGAATAGTGCTCGGGCTGGAAGACAGATTCGGGCTTCTTTGTTGTTGCTACAATTTGGACTTGATAATGGCCTTTTTAGATCTTGGGCTCCATATGAAAGTTGTAGGCCTATGTCTTACCTTTCCATCCATATAAATTGGACCTAAATCTGAGATCTGTAGCTCCAGATATGACCCAATTACCGAACAGTGTTCCGGTTTGGATTGCACCGACATCTCTTTTCTAAGTTTGGCCATCTCTTTATCCTTGCAATTTAAGTTCTTCAAGTCATCAATCAATCCTTTCATTTATGTGATAGGCCTGCATTAAAAATAGACATTTACCATAAATTATAGGTATCTTATATTATTAGATACATTATTATAAAACATATTTTAGTTAAGGAGTTATTGATACTTCAAGTGCAAAATGATGATATAAAACCATGATAAAAATGCACTTTTAAGTACTAATCACACCCCCCAACCAGCTTATTACTAGTCCCTAGTAATCAAAGCGTTAAAATAGAAAACAAATTTGCAAATTTCACAAAGCAAGGTATTCATCATTTAACTTCCATTAATCTATCCAGATAAACAAACTCTCATTAAATTTATATATCTGCTCAATACCACTTAACAAGATATTAATAAACCTTTCTTTTGTGCTCAATGTATCAACACATAATTATGGGGCTTTTCTTGGAAGAAAACAAAATTTTTGTTCTAATGTTTAAGGTTAACTTCCTTGGGTTGGGATTATTATTTTTGTCTTTTTTTTTTAATGTATATACATATAATTTAAAAATATCATGCATCTTTAACCCATGTAATGAGCTTTCAGCTAATGACTCCCAGACCAGTTGGTATTAGGGCATTAGGTGTTAAGACACCCCTACGAGCTTAGTAACTCGGGTCGCAGATACTGATATGTAGATAGTGCAATGTTTGATTCCTTTAAGCTTTTCTCCTCAACCCATGTAACAAGCGTTGGGCCAATAGCTCCCAAGTCAGTTGACTTTAGGGTATTAGGTGTTAAAACACCCCTTCGGGCTTAATTGCTTAGGTTAGGGAGGCTACGAAACCAAACTTATCTACATTTTTATTATCATCATTTTTTTTTTCTTTTTTTTTTTTTTTTTTTTTTTTTTTTTTTTTTTTTTTTTTTTTTTTTTTTTTTTTTTCTTTTTAATTATATACAATCCCTTTCCCTTAGTTGTTACCTTTAACAAAAGAACATAAATAATGTAATAATCCAATATGCAACCCACAATCATATGTTAAAGTGTGTGTGTGTAAATTAAGGTTTAAGAATACATGTTAAATAAGTATATGAGCAGAATTAAGTGGTAACAATACGAGAGTTTGTAAACCTGAATATTTCAGGAAGTATTATAATAGACCTTGTTAAGAATGGTTACTAAGATGCGTCTCAAGAGTCACTTTAACAAAAGAACTCCTTTACTCTGCCATCCTAGTAACAACAATTATGCACATGCTTTATGAAATGAAAAACAATTTTTTTTTTTATCAACTACTACCCTCTCCCCCCAACCAAAACGAGACATTGTCCTCAATGTTCTAAGGTAGAAAGATAGAGTATAAAAGATATCACCTGAAATAACGAACACTGACAAAACCTGAAACACACTGAAACAAAAATAAGAAATAACAAAACACAATAATAAAACCAAAAGACATAAACATTCACAAATGAAGGCTCAAATCCAATCTAAGCTTTTTACGGCTTTCCTTAGATGACCAATTTATGCGACTCATGGAAGGATCAATCACAGGAATGAAAGATTGTAGTTGGTCAATCAATTGTTCAGCAGTAGTAGCAGAGATTATGATTTGTCGTGCAGAAGATGTTAGAAATTCCTGTTCCACAGCATGATCAAGAAAAGACAACAACTTATCATAATAACCATTAACATTTAACAAACCTATGGGTTTATGGTGAATGTGCAATTGAGCCCAAGAGGAAATATGAAAGATCTCTTCCAATGTGCCTAGACCACCTGGTAAAGCAATGAAAGCATCAGCATGGTTAAACATTGCATTCATTCGAGCCGACATTGTGGAGACCTGAAGTTCCTCTCCAATTGTTTTTCCAATGATGTCCCCTTGTGCCAAAGCTTCAGGGACGATTCCTAAAACTTGACTACCTCCTAAAAATGCAGCTATTGACACACCTCCCATTAACCCAAGACTGCCTCCCCCATACACTAAATGAATCTTTCTCTCAGCTAGCACCTGACCAAGATGATTTGCTGATTCTAAAAACTCCTTTTCTTTCCCAGGACTAGATCCACCGAAAACACAAATATTTCTTATTTGATGACTTGAGGAACTTGCCATTTCTACACACTTCTGTATTTGTTGAATGTATGGGTTGAGTAGAAATGAAAGGAAGGAAAAGAGGGTTTTATAGATGAGAAATTAGAAAGGCAATCATAACACCTATATGTAGGCCAGCTAGACTCTCACACACTCTCTCTCTCTTTTTATTTATTTATTGATTTACTTTAAAAAAAAAACATGTCTATGTACAGGTAGTTGTGATTGAAAAGCATGTGTATGTACAGGTAGTTGTGATTGTGGCTCACATCTTCCCTTGGTTTTACGTCCAAGAACGGCTTAAACGCCCTCTATGGGTCGGGGATAGGCTTCCCATCCAGTTTTCTTAAAAACTGGCAAACAGGGTCTTTTTTAGTCAGATTCCCAAGACTAAATCGATCATGTTCTTTATGAAATAGTGGCCATAAATCATGAATTGCACGATACACATCTCCACTAGGATGTGTCTCAAGAGTCAATAGAAGATTATCTAAAGACTCCTTACTCAGGCCATCCTTAATGAATTGTATTTTATCTTCACGGTTTTTAGATACCATTCCTAAAGAACGACATTGTGTATTACAAGTCCATCTAGCACATCGATGACGGACATCCAGTCATTTTGCACAACGCTTCTTTGCAAATATGCTTTTACCTGTTCCAGGCATGTGTGAAATGCAGAAGTTAGAGGACTCACCTGCTAATCGGACCTTTGTTTCAATCAACCAGCGAATATGTTCAGGAATTCCATGATTCAGTAACAATCTCAATCTTGCACATCTAGCACGGTAAATTTTTGGAATCGCATTCTAAGGCAGAGCGGGAAAATACTTTTTCAATTTTTCAAGATTAGTGTCCATTTTCAAATGAGAATTGGAAGAGAGCTTCAAAGAATTGCACAAATATATACACCGATATCAGTTATTGTGGGAAACCGAAAGAACCGACTTAAGTCACGGAGTACCGTTATCCACCATTTGACCGGGGTGAGATAAACTAGCAAAAATCACTAAAAAAAGAAACACAAAAACAATGTGAGAAAAAAAAAAATCAACCTTTATCTACAAGATCATTCCAACCAGTTGATTCATTTTCACTAGGAAAATTATCAAAGTAAGCTTTCAAACAATGTCCATTTTCCGTAAAATCATTGTCATTCATTGAATTCTCAATATCACAGGCCCCATAAGGATTGCTTCATCTTGGTCTTAGGTCTCTAGGGACTGCATAGAGTTGAGAATTATAAAACAAAACTTTTTGACCAGTATCAATCTTTTGACAATTTTCACAAGTTTTGTAGAATGCATGTGTGTCCTTGAACATAGTGGGCCAATAAAATCCATTTTGAAAGATTTTTGCAGCAGTCTTTTTTGACGAGAAATAACTTCCACATGCTTCAGAATGACAAAGTTTAATGACACTACTTACCTCATTGTCGAGAATGAATCTTTGAAATATTTGATCAGGACAATATTTGAATAAGTTAGGGTCATCACAATAAAAGCTCTTCACTTCGTTCAAAAACTTTTCTTTGTCTTGGGTACTCCAATCAGCTAGCAAATCTTCTAAAGCAAGAAAATTAATATTTTTATCATACCAAGGCATTGAACTAAGTGAAAGTAAGGATTTGTTAGGAAAGTAATCATCGATTGGTGTGATGTCAGATGTCGAATCTGTTGTCACTATTGACAAAAGATTCGCATCAATATTTTCAGTGCTTGTTTCATTCGTGATTTCTTCCTCAGAATAAACCATTTGCAAATCTTCAGTTTCATCCAATTCATTTTTACTTAAAGTAGATTCAAGTTGATCATAAACTAATTCATCAATATGATCTACTTCTTGCAAATCATTATCATCTCCAGGTTGCTTGCAAATGTTGAAAATATTCATCTCCAATGTCATGTTTCCAAATGATAGCTTCATCAGTCCATTCCTACAATTAATCAATGCGTTAGAGGTTGCAAGAAACGGACGTCCTAAAATAACAGGAAATGAATTACATGCTTCAACAGGTTCTGTGTCCAAGACAATAAAATCCACAGGATAAATGAATTTATCGACTTGTACTAACACGTCTTCAATTATTCCTCTAGGCACTTTTACAGATCTATCGGCAAGTAAAAGAGATATAGAAGTTGGTTTTAACTCACCTAGATTGAGACTTTGAAAAACTGAATATGGAAGTAAATTCACACTAGCTCCAAGATCAAGTAAGGCTCTTTCAATTTTATGCTCTCCAATAAAGCAAGAAATTGTAGGACAACCAGGGTCTTTATATTTCAAAGCATTATTGTTCTGAAGAATAGCACTTACTTGTTCGGCTAGAAAGGCTTTCTTTTTCACATTCAGTTTCCTCTTCACAGTGCATAGATCTTTCAAAAATTTAGCATAGGAAGGAACCTGTTTAATAGCATCCACCAATGGTATATTACTGTTGTCACTATTGACAAAAGATTCGCATCAACATTTTTGGTGCTTGTTTCATCCGTGATTTCTTCCTTAGAATAAATCATTTGCAAATCTTCAGATTCATCTAACTCATTTTTACGTAAACTAGATTCAAGTTGATCATAAACTAATTCATCAATATGATCTACTTCTTGTAAATCATTATCATCTCCAAGTTGCTTGCAAATGTTGAAAATATTCATCTCCAATGTCATGTTTCCAAATGATAGATTCATCAGTCCATTCCTAGATTGAGACTTTGAAAAACTGAATATGGAAGTAAATTCACACTAGCTCCAAGATCAAGTAAAGCTCTTTCAATTTTATGCTCTCCAATAAAGCAAGAAATTATAGGACAACTAGGGTCTTTATATTTCAAAGCATTATTGTTCTGAAGAATAGCACTTACTTGTTCGGCTAGAAAGGCTTTCTTTTTCACATTCAGTTTCCTCTTCACAGTGCATAGATCTTTCAAAAATTTAGCATAGGAAGGAACATGTTTAATAGCATCCAACAAAGGTATATTGATCCTTACCTGTTTGAAAATTTCAAAAATTTCAGAGTTGTGATTGACTTTCCTTTGTTTGGTCATGGCGTGAGGAAATGGAAGTGCTGGTGGTGAATCGGTCTTTTCTTTGCAATTTTCAGATTCAACCCCTTCCTTACCCTCAGAGATTGACTCATCATCTTTCTCATAAGGTTCAAGAGAGGGTTTTTCAATAACCTTACCACTGCGCAGAGTAGTGACTGATTTGACTTCATCCATGTGTTGGCTTCCGGAACTACTTGCATTTGCATTGTATTGCCCTTTGGGATTTTGTTGTGGTTGAGATGGAAACTTACCTTTCTCTTGGAAACTGAGAGCAAATGTTAATTTTGCAAAAGTATCTTTAAAATCTGTCATGTTTTGAGCAAGCTGAGTATTGATTGTCTCTTGCTTTTCAATGAATGCATGCAATGTTTCTTCAAGATTTTTTCTAGAAGGTGGAGAATAAGGAGGTACATATCCATGAGAATTTTGGAAATTGTGGTGTGCTTGAAACGGTGGTTGTGAAGTTTGTGCACTGTTGTTCTCACTCTTTCAACTGAAATTTGGGTGATTTCTTCAACCAGGGTTGTATGTTTGGGAGTATGGGTTGTGGTTGGCCCTTTGGAAACTGTTTAAAGCATGGGCTTGTTCATGGAGACATTCCTTAAAAGAAGGCAAGGTTGGACAATCCTTGGTTGAGTGTTCATTTGTTTCACATATTTGACACACAATGTTTTCAACAGATTTTAATTGACCACTCTTTTTCAATTCTAGTGCCTCGACTTTTCTAGCTAAAGATGCAAACTTGGCTTGGAGGTCATGATCTTCCCTAAGGTTGTACATACCTCCACTAGATGTATGAGGTTGAGTTTTACTCGGTGCCTCATAAGTACCCGCGGTGTCCCAATTTTGAGCATTTTCTACCCGCGGTGTCCCAATTTTGAGCATTTTCAGCTAACAAGTCTAAGTACTCCATTGCTTCATTAGGGTCTTTATCTTCAAAAGTTCCATTGCACATCAATTCAACCATTTGCCTATCTCTAAGTGTTAACCCTTCATAAAAATGTGAAACCAATTTCCATGTTTCAAAACCATGATGAGGGCAAGTACTAAGCAAGTCTCGATACCTATTCCAACATTGGTAAAATGTTTCTCCTGGTTTTTGAGTGAAAGTAGTGATTTGTCTTTTGAAAGAGTTTGTTCTGTGAGATGTGAAAAACTTCAAAAACTGTTGTTGCATTTTATCCCAAGCACGAATGGATCCTCGTCTTAAATTTTATAGCCATGTTTTAACTTTATCTTTTAATGAAAAAGGAAAAAGCTTTAATCTGATGGTGTTCATGTTACAATTTAAATTATTATATGTATTGCAGACCTCCTCAAATTCCCTTAAATGCAAGTATGGATTTTCTAAATCTAAGCCATGAAAAGAAGGTAAAAGTTGAATAATACCTGGTTTAAAATTAAAATGAGATGCATCGGGAGGAAAAACTATGTATGATGGTGCACTTGTTCTTGTGGGATTCATGTGGTCTCTAAGTGTTTTAGCATGATTATTCTCATTATTCTCATTATGAAGTGATTGATTATCTTCTTCGGCCATATTTTCTGAAAATGATGAGGATACCCTACAAAGTCTACCACTTGATGTACGTGACCACTTGTGTAGGAATAAAATAAAAGAAAAAAGAAAACAAAAGAAGAAGAAACAAGAAAAAAGAAACAAAGTTATATACAAGAAAAGTGAAAAGAGAAAATAAAATAACTACTATAATTTATACAAGAACTTACCTCCCCGGCAATGGCGCCAAAAACTTGACACAACGAAAAGATTGTTGTCTTCTCCCAAGTGTAGGAGTGTTGAAGTAATAAATAACCCGGCAAGACTGGGGTCGAACCACAGGGAGGTTAATTGTACAAATTATAAATAATAATAATACAACAACAACAATAATAATAATAGTAATAACAACAACAACAACAACAACAATAAGAATAAGAATAAGAAAAAGAAAAAGGAGGAGAAGAAGAAGAAGATGATGAGAACTTTGAGATGGAATATTAATGTAAGGATTAAACAATAATAATAACAAATGTCAAGGTTAGAGGTTCCACTAATGGTATATCAAACAAGTATAGTATAAACTCTTATTATTCAATTGGAAACCACACACAAAGGAGGTTCCAATCAGATTATAGATTGTTAACATGATTACATTAGTCAGCTTATTCAATTAATACTAGTACTTGTAAATCCCATCAAGCATTCATGATTATAACTTATGTTAACAACAAATCAAGTTCCTTTCATAGCTCAGGTGTCGGTTATACCATAGAGTATGAACTATAAAAGTGCCAAACATTTGTTGTACCAAGTGTTATACAACATAAATCAAGATTAATTATTTAACAAGAAAAGTATTAAAGAGTGAACAAGATAACAAATATAAAACATGTTAGTATCAAACATTAAAATCCATATTAAGTTTACATTATACTTATTCTTACACCATTAGTGTAATCTTTTCACCTTGAAATAATCAACTTAGCTAGACATAATGAAAGAAAGAAAAATAGATAAACAAAATAAGAACATAAATAAGATAAAAGTTAACTAAGTAAAGGAAAGGAAATGAAAGACATAAACTTGATATTAATGAAAGCAAAACATAAACATTACAAAAAATACAAAGAGAGAAAGCAAGAGCATGATCTTGATCTGGACACCAAGATGCCTAAATGCATGGCAAATGCCTCCTTTTATAGGCCAAAATTGCGAACTATTGATTTGATGACTAATTGATGAGTGGGTGGCCAACTCTTGACTTGGTGACAATCCTTATCTTCTCTTGTCTGCCCAAAACGTCATTGATAACGTCCAAATTAGAGCCACTCAAAAACATGAAAGTTGTAGGCAATTGTCTCAGATTTCTTGTGTAAAACATTCAGCTCATTTGGACTTCTAGAACTTTAGATATGGCCAAAATACTGAACAGTGCTCGGGCTAGAGAACAGATTCGGGCTTCTTTGTTGTTGCAACAATTTGGACTTGAAAATGGCCTTTTTAGATCTTGGGCTCCATATAAAAGTTATAGGCCTATGTCTTAACTTTCCATCCATATAACGTAGACCTAAATCTGAGATCTATAGCTCTAGATATGACCCAATTACCGAACAGTGTTCCAGTTTGGATTGCACCGACATCTCTTTTTTAAGTTTGGTCATCTCTTTGCCTTTGCAATTTAAGTTCTTAAAGTCATCAATCAATCCTTTTATTTATGTGATAGGCCTGCATTTAAAATGAACATTTACCATAAATTAAATGTATCTTATATTATTAGATATATTATTATAAAACATGTTTTAGTTAAGGAGTTATTGATACTTCAAGTGCAGAATGATGATATAAAACCTTGATAAAAATGCAATTTTAAGTACTAATCAACTACACTAATATTTATAAAGATTTGATAAATTGCCTGTTTCTTTCCTTAAACTTGCATTCAAGAGTTTCACTTTACACACTGGTCTTCTTAACAGGTGTGACCAAATAATTATACAACCTTTTTGCGGGTGCAAGATCAAACTCAATCTTTGTATAGGCTTAGGATCAAACTATTATCCTTAATCTTTGTACGAGCTATAGACTAGAAAACATTTCACTAATAGTTTAAACCACTCATAATTTTATCTATATGAGAATTTTACAAGTGTTTAGAGTGTCATTTACACTTTCTACAATATATTCTCTTAGTATAGTTTATTAGAATAACAATTAAGCTATTTAAGAGGATTTTATCAATTCACACCAAACCTTGTTTTTGGATTATTACAAGTGAAACAATGATGTTGTATGTTTTTTTAGAGGGAGTATACTTAGATTTTTTTCTTAGGAGTTCCACACTTGTTTTGGGCAAGTAAAATGTTATTTATAAGCTTAGAAGAAACCTAGCTATTAAACATAGTTTTCTGCCTCTAAGAAGAATTGATTAGACCGTTTTATAATCAGTCAGACTGTTTTTGAAGAACCCTAAGAGTTTATGGAATTTTTTTAGAAACAGACTAGTTGTTTTGAGAAATGGTCAAAAAATAAAACAAGATTAATGTATGTGGCACACAATCATGTTACATGCAGCATATTGATATATTCTTTATTAAATCATTTAAGTATTACTACATAGCATTTAAAAGTTTTATGGAAGACATCATAAGTAATCAATATGATATACATATATCAAAACTATATCAAATTAATGTTTTATTATCTAATGTTTATGTTATCATCAAAACATATAATTAAATCATTATCATAGTTATAAGGCTAGCACACCCCTTATAGCATCATTGTTTAGCACACATTCTTTAGAGCTTGTTTTTAGGAAAATAAATTCAATTCTAATTAGGGAAGCTCTTAATTGTGAGATTTATCATTTTTCTAAATCATCTAGATGTTCATTTAATTCATCATTATCTCAAACTACTCATGCATTTGAACTTATGCATTCAGATGTACGAGGATTCTTCTCTACTTCTCTTTATGGTTTTAAGTATTTTGTAACCTATATCGATTATTTCTCTAAGGTTACTTAGGTGTACTTGTTGATAACTAAAAGTGAAGTATTTGATTGTTTTAAAGATTTTCACATATTGATTACTAATCAATTTCTAGTTCACATTAAAATCTTTTGATTTGAAAACGACACAAAATATATGTCTAAAGACATGACACAATATTTGAGTTCTAATGACATATTGCATGAAACTAGTTGTGTTAGCACAAACTAACAAAACGGGATAGCAGAATGTAAAAATCATGACTTGCTTGAAAATCTTCGGCCATAATGCTTCAAATGAATGTTCTCAAATTTTTTTGGTCTCATAGAGTTCTTATTGCTACTTATCATGTCAATCACATACCTAGTCGAATGTTGAATTTTAAATCTCATCTTGATTTTTTGCAACTAAATTTATCTCACTTTAAGGTCTCTAGTTGCATATTTTTTATGCACTTACCAACTGCTTACTGTGATAAGCTAGATTCTTGAGCTATTAAATGCATTTTTCTAGGATATTCACAGACACAAAAAAAGTACAAATGCTATGATTATGTTTCTAAAAGACTATATGTCTTCATAAATATTTGGTTTGTTAAAGATACCCTTTATTTTTTCATATTAAATCAGGTGGAGATCCTACTCGAGTTATTTCCATTACCTAGTATTGATACTACTCACCAGCATGCCAGCCCTATTTTTTATCATTAGTCTACTAAACCTATTCTTAACTCATTTGGAAATCCAATCACAACACCATTATCCAACACTGTTCACATGAACTAATGTATAGGATCTTCTAGCTTATGATGAATTGCCATCTTTTAGAAGAATTTCTTATCAAACTCATCAACCTCTAATAAAAAAGCAAGTTAATATCACATGTACTATTAAATATCCTGTCACTAATTTCTTATCTCATCACTAACTATCTTATGACTATTTTGCTTTCCTTATAACTATATCAAATACTTATGAGCTAAAGGATTTCCTAGAAGGCCAATCCCAAGTTGTATGGCAATATGCTATAAATGAAGAGTTGATAACTCATTCTAAAAGTCACATATGATCTCCTTGTAAAAAAATAAGCAGTTATTTGTCATTGGATATTCAAAATGAAGTTAAACTCAGATGGATCAATTAATTAACATAAAGCTCATCTTGTATCTTAAGGTTTTACTAAAAAAATTGATGTTAACTATAAAGAGACATTTGCTCCAGTTACCAAAATGACTGCTATTAGAGTTCTACTATTTGTTGCTATCAATCATAGATGGTCATTATCTTAAATAGATGTAAAAAATACATTCTTACATACATATCTAGAAGAAAAGGTGTTTATAAAGCTTCCCTCTGGACACTTAAAATGGACATTTTAATTTGGTTTGTCAACTTTATAAATCTATTTTATAGGTTGAAGCAAAGTCGTTATATATGGCATGTAAAATTAAGCATTACTCTTGAAGTTCTTGGCTTTACTAGAAGTTCAATTGATTCCTCATTATCTGTTCAACTTGGTATAGTGGACAAATCGATTGTTCTTATTTATATGGATGATCTTATTATCACTAGAAATAATAATGACTCTATAACTCTACTAAAGAAGACTCTTCAACAATAATTTTTTATTAAGGACCTTAGTTCTTTGAAGTAATTTCTAGGCATTGAAATGACAACCTCTGTTTTGTTTCTCAATCAATATAAATACATTGTTGATTTATTACAAGATGCCATATGTTATATACTAAACCAGTTGCTACTCGTCTGGGCAATGAATGCACTTTATTTTTTAAGTGAACTTCTTAATTTTTATAGTCATTATCATAAGCTTGTTAGTAAACTTATTTACTTGACAATCACATGACTTGATATTACTTTTACAGACAATCTAGTCAGCCAATATATGTATGCTCCAACTATGCAGCATCTTAGTATGATAAAATGTATTTTAAAGTATCTCAAGGGCATAATTGGTTGTAAGATTGTTATGACTCATCATGATCACACTAATATTATGGGCTACACTTATTTGAAGTAGGCAGGTAATACA